GTAGAGTAATCCTTTTCTTGTAGCAGATCTATGCAACCATTCAGATACATCAGAGGATATGAATCAAATATATAAAAGTTGCTCTGTTGAAGGAAGGGTCACAAATTTAATCCACCTTTAGGCAGCCTAGAAGTTTTAGAAAAATGGCTAGAATAGTAGAAAGTCTTCTCCAGAGTAGATGGGGTTGTCAATACTTGGATTTTTTGAGGTCAGAATCTCTTTGGATCGAGATGGAACTGATGAGAAGGACCAATCGACCCAAATGTACTGAAGCGATGTTGAAAGATCGTGAACAACTTCCATATAGGCCTATGAAACGGCGTGGTGCTGAAAAATGACTGCTGGCGGGCTATGGAAACATGTGGGAACTCCTATTGTGGCTTGGCTTTTTGGACTTGGTTCACATTAGAATTTTGAGTTGATTGGTACTACTGATTTATGCACAGCACCCACGGAAAGCAATAAATCCAACTGACGAGATAATAGCCGAAAAATGCACAGGCATTGAAAATTCTTCTCCTAGACATACTGATAAATACACAGATTAATTTCACAATAACTTTGATACCGTGTGAGATAAAAGAGAAATAAGGAGAAGAGATTCAGGAAAAACATGAAGACAAATGTAAATTCACACTTTCGATGTATACAGTTACATTTCTCGACGTGGAGTACTTTTATGCAATCTTCTATATTACCTCCTCCCTTTCAATTTATGCGTCTTACTTTCATTTTTAGTATGGTTCAATAAGAATGTCTCTTTCTATATTTAGTAAGTTTCTAATTCCAACATTCCTATTTATCCTTAGCGACACTCCCTTATAGGAATGACATGACATGTTTAAGACCACAATATTTAAAGGGTAATTTCGGTATCTTAGACATACCGTAATTTCGGTATCTTAGACATACCTTTAATATGAGATCACAAGATTCAAAAGTCTTTGTTACATTTTAAAACTGTGATCTGTCAAACTAAGACAAAAACAAATGAAACAGAGGGAGTACATATAAGTCTAATCTATTTAGAACCGATAAAACATGGGTTTATAGTTGTAAGAAAGTACAAGTTGGCCCGGATACCACGGTTATTAAAAAAAATAGTTGTAAGAAAGTAGTAGCAATTTTGGACTGGTGTTTCTTTAATAGGAAGCGAAAGTTGATATTTGACACATCAATCTTGAAGCTAGTCACATGTGGTTAGCTCGGTCAGTTTCACTTTGACCAGCATGTTGGCATTTTGTTATCTTACTAAATCCTACTCAATCGCGTTCCAATCAAAATTATGGTCGAATATAATGACCTTTTTAGTGATTTGTCATTACTTCTCCTGGGCGCTCAGTATTTTCTTTGACAAGTCAGCACCCTCAATCAGGGTTGTAAATAGCGCTCGCCTCAGCGCTAATAGCGTGAGGCATAGCGATGCGAGCCTCCATCGCTTTTATGCTGTGTTGCGTTTTACAAATAGCGCTCGCCTCTGCCTGTGTAGCGAGATGCGACTGTAGCGTCGCTTTTAAAAAAAAAAAGAAAAAAAGTAGGGATTGAAGAAAACGACTCGCGAATAGGGCTTTGAGCTTTCAGATATTTCTTTCTTCTTCTGTTCTTCACGCTTCAAACAGCAGAGCAGCCACATCGATTTCTTTCTCCAGCCATAGCCACAGTGGTCGACCCAGCCACATCTCGAGTTTCTGCCATTTTCTTCTTCATCCAAGTCGACCCAGGTATGCTTCTCTTCTTCTTCGAGTTTCCTTTTTTTTTTTTTTCTTTTCTTCTTTCTTCAGTCTTCAGTCTTCTTTCTCCTTTCTTTCTTCCTTTTTCTTCTCCTCCTCGTCTTCTTCAAGCAGCAGTCAACAGAATAGAGTCTGCTTTTGCTCTGTTTTTTCTTCCTTTTTCTTCTTCTTCTCTTCTTCTCTTCTTTTTTTTTCTTTTGCTCTGTTTTTTATCGAGCAACACCCTGTTTTTGCTCTGTTCTAACTTCTGTCTTTCTTTTTGTTCTTCAGTTCTTCTCTTCTTCTTTCTTCTTTTGCTCTGTTTTTTGTTTTTCAATTCCTTCACAGCTTCACTTTGGGCAGAGGCAGAGAGCTTTATTTCAAACCTGAAGAAGAATAGATGTTGCTTGTTTTAGTTTATGAATCTACTATCGAGTTTTTAATTTTTGAATTCAGATATTTCTTAATATATTATTGCTATTGATTTTTTAGTTTTATATATATATATATAGTATATTTTATTTTTTGTATAAATTGTCGCTTCACATCAAAAAGGCGAGCGCTTCGCTTCTCGCCTCAGTGAAGCGGGCCCTCGTCGCTATTTGTCGCCGCACGCTATTCAAAACACTGCCCTCAATATTACCTCTCTTTGAAAATTGGCCTAAATCTCTTCTTTGGCACTATCGAGTTTACCTCATTCTTTTTAACTTTTGACCTATCAATTCGCGGCCTTGGTAAATATAAGCAATTAATGGTGTTACCACATAAACACCTTTCTGATAGGTTGTATTCTGGGCATCTCTAACATATCCTTCATATCTCTTGGTTTCTTCAACTTTCCATCTTTGATTAATTGGTCTAGCTGCTTATCTTAGCTTCATCTGCAGCATAGATACAAGGATCACAGGGTTTCTCATTTGTAATGAGCAAGTGCTATGGGATATCTAAGACAACTGGAGCTCAAATAGCAGGTTGAAATGGTCTAATAGGAATTGTTTAAAGCTAATTGAGGTTTACATTTGACCTAAATGGTTGAGTTTATATTCTAAGTTGTGGCACTCACTTTATCTTCAAAATTTGGAGTGTGCGTTTCAGTTAAAATATTTCACAGAAAGGAATCATAACTTTACCTTGTAGAACATTGGCTTGTTTGACCCATCAAAAAAAAAAAAAAAAATTGGCTTGTCCGAGCTAGAGTAATATGAACAAAGTGGTCTAATGTATTTTTGGCTATAGCTTCGCCCACACCTTACTCTGGTTTAGGCACAATATTAAAAAGATTACTGTTATTAATTCCGAGCAGGACAATTGTAAGGGCACATTAATAAACAAGAAAAGTACAGGGATCTATTTGTTTATAAATGCAATTGCCAGCTTTTGCATTTTTTCCAATGTTTTCACCTTCTTTAATTTTTTTTGGGGGGGGTGGGGATGTTGCAAGTTGTTGTCATCATTTTTGATGATGTTGTTTGTTTTAATTGTTTTACCTCTTTCTTCCAGTAAGTGCGTAAGACTGAGAAAGGAAGAAGACATATGGGATAAGCTATGGTTACTGGAAAATATAGTTATCATCCCTATGTAACGGAGCTTGTAATTTTACATTTTATATTGAAAATAATCATGACTAATTGCCAAAATTCCAGATACAAAATTGTCATATGGTGTGTATTGTGCATATTGCCAGGGTAAGAGTATGAGGTTCTATGTTCTTGTACATGGTATTGTGCCACCTGAGGAACAAGATTTATGAATTTTGACTTGGAAACAGTAGTGCAATTACCTTTGCACTACTTTTTTAGCATAGGATTCTATCTCCTTCCCTCTCTTTCTGACACGAAAATGACACACTGAACTATTTCTCTAATTGCTTTTTTATATTCCCCTTCTTTTTTTGTGATAAGAAAATCGTTCTCTTTACTTTTGGTCCTTACCTAATGATTGGAAGTCAGATGTGCTTGTATTGTTGAATGAAGTCGACGTTGCTATACACTTGAGTTTTACTTGCTTATTTTCTAGAAAGGTGTTCCATTGCTAACCTTCATGTACTTTTCACAGGAAAATAGTTATCTGCAGCAGTTACATCTATTAGGACAGACTAGTGCTGCTGACCAAGGGCTAAAGTCACCCGAAGTTGCTTGTAAATTATTCATGCAGTTAACAGACTCTCAGGAAACCAAGATTAATGTGTTTGTATTTGGGTCTGCTGTGTTTATGTAGATGATATGTTGATGTGCTAAAACATTAGTTGTAGTATTATTTATTAGGGTGAAGTTTTTTACACTTTGGTATTATTCAATGTTTTATGAATAACTGGGCTTTTCACCGACTTGTTTACGATCAGTCTGCAATATTGTAGGAACACGGAGTATTGAGGTTGTGTGTAACATTCAACGGCCTTGATGCTTCTTTCTCTTGATGATCAATGTACGTACTTCCATTATTTGCTTGCTTGCAAGCAGTTGACTAGTAGTTTACATTATTGAGGAAAGGACTGATGGGGGTCTATTATAACCCAGGCTTCTGGGGTATTGTTGTTGGGGCAGCAGCAACTAAAAAACTATGGCATGTTTCTATGTTATGGCACATCAGTGGATCATTTCAACTAGCAACCGTGAGCAACTATTACAGGAACTTTGATTCTTTCTACTGTAGTTGCAAATATGTACCTACTTCTCAAGGGCAGCCAAATGGTCTTAGATTTAATCCTGCAATAACTAAACATTGAACATCGAAGTTATCCTACTACATGTATGCATATGTAAGTTAGCTGATGAATTATTGAACAATGGAATTGTGGAAGTATTTTAAACTGAGAGTTCGGGTTATTGGGCGGGGGGGAGGAAGTCTAGGCTAGCTTGTTACTAATGATCATCTGTCTACTTTTTGTTTCAAATTAACTATTGCTGCGATCTTGATGTCTTTAAAAACATGGTCAATATCCTCTCCATGCTTTTACGTCAAACGGAACCGCTAAAGCTCAAATGCATAAACATTACACTTATTTTTCCTGTTTTAACTCCCTTTTATAATTGAATGAAATAGAATTCTAATGTTTAAAATGCCACTGGAAATGGAAAGTGATGGACCATCTTTAAAGCCCTCCTGAGTAATGAGGTGAACAGTGTGGACTCTTAACCAAAGGAAGTCAACTCATTGAAAGTGAAAAAGGAAATGACAAAAGAACGAAAAAGGCAGCGACTGAGCGGTCATTCATTGTGCTAAAGCTAAAAAACAGTAGCTCATCGAGTTTAAACTATCTAATGTAACAATAACCCAGTTTGGAATTTTACGTTGAATTACCCTGCATCAGCAGAAATGGAAATGAATTTTGCAGTCTAATATTTTTTTTTTTGACAAGTTATTACCCCATCAAGTCTGTTTCTAATAATTACATTAAATACCATGGAGTTCCATACCATTCTGCAAAGACTTACAAATTATTAGTAATACTAATAACGACACAAGACACAGAAGCAAATAACTAGAGATGGGGTAATCAAGGGAATGGAAATTGGCCAAACTCATTGGTAGATGCACAATGGTCCATGTCAAATGAATTTTGGGCATAGCTATCTAAGTACCCAGCGGTGATAGGAACATCCACAAAATCAGAAGGCATCATGTTGGCGACATTAAAAGGATCATAATCCAACATTAAGGAACAATTAGTAGTAGGATTTTGCTTTGTAGCAAAATAAGCAAGACGGGTTCGAGCAAGCATTAGATCATGTTGTAGCTCCGCCATTTTTCGTTGTAACGAAGCTATGGCGCCAATGCAACCATAAACAGGGTCCCTTAGTCTCACCTCGGCCTCGTAAACAAGAGAATTAACGGTGTCTTCTCGTTGATCCTCGGGCACTTCGTTCAAGATCTTGCTCACATTGCTGGCCCCAAACACCTTGTGAACGTTGGCGAATTTCTTGGGCTCGTCGGACCGAAAATATGGAGCGAATTGACAATTTGGACTGCACCTTCTCTTTAAGAACTTGCAAGCTGCACAAGATGAGCTTGAACGTGGTTCGTGACTCTTCATGGTTTCCTCTTTTTCGATTCTTCAAACTTCGCCTTAATACCATTTTGGCTCATGTATTTATAGGCTTTGAGAAGATAAAGGATTTCAAATATTATGATTTGCACCATACGAACAACAGGCCCATTAGCTCAGTTGGTTAGAGCGTCGTGCTAATAACGCGAAGGTCGCAGGTTCGAAACCTGCATGGGCCAAGTTTTTCTACATTTTTCTTTTTGGAAATACTTGGTTAAATATACTCCATATCACTCCACCTTTCTGGAAACATAAGTTTAAAAGATCTATTTCATGACTTTCTTGACATACAGAAAGATAAGTTGTGTAATATCTAATCCTCATTTCAATCACAATAGAATTCCGTTTTTTTTCTTTTCCGTGGAGAATTTAGCTAATATTTCATTTTCAACAGATTTAGGAGATCACAATGTAACTTACCCATCTATCTTCTATATATAATAAAAGGAGAGGCAAAAACATATTATTAAGACGAGTGGTATAACCACAAAAAGCCAAGTGGTATTATTAAGACAAAATAAACTACCTTTTAAACTAAAAAAAACCATTTTAAATTTTGAATTAATTGGTTACTCTATTGAATTAATAAATATAGATATCTTATAATTAGCTATATTAAAAAATAAAAATATAAAAATAAAAATAAAAACTACACATTCAAATTAGTGAATAATTTCAAGTTGGAGTTTTAAAGTTATTTTAAAATTAAAAAACAAAAAATAAGAAAAAAATAAATTAGCTACAATAAAAAACGAAAATCTATATATAATAAAAGGAGAGGCAAAAGCACATATTAAGACAAGTGGCATAACAACAAAAAGCCAAGTGGCATTATTAAGACAAAATAAATTACCTTTTTAACTAAAATAAAACTTTTAAAATTTTGAATTAATTGGTTACTCTATTTGAATTAATAAATATAGATATCTTATAATTAGTTATATTAAAAAACGAAAATATATATAAAAAAATAACTAATCATTCAAATCGGGGAGTAGTTTCAAGTTGGAGTTTTAAAGTTATTTTAAAATTAAAAAATTAAAAATAAGAAAAATTTAAATTAGCTACAATAAAAAAACGAAAATATTAATAATAAAAAAAAACCAACCAGTTCAAGTTGGGGAATAGTTTAAAGTTGGAGTTTTAAGTTATTTTTAAAAAAAAACGAAAATAAAGAAATAAAAAATTGCAAATTCAAATTGGGGTGTGGTTTCTATTTGTAGTTTTAAAATTATTTTAAAATTGAAAACGGAAATAAAGATATAAAACAATTTCCAATTTAAACAGGGGAGTAGTTTCTTTCTAATATAGTAGTCTTTATATATATATATATA